TCTATCTATATATCTATCTATCTATCTATCTATCTATCTATATTATATATTATATACTCATTTCCATAAGAAATTTGACATAAAGAATAGAGTTAAATAAAAAATAAACTTTTGCAGACACAGGGACAAAATTTTACGTCCAAAAAGAAGAAGCATTTCTGAATTTGAAAACCTGTATTTTAATGCACATTATATACACCTGGTGCTTCAAGCCCCACCTAAAGTGATAGGGTCCATATTTAAAAAATCAGAAAATGTGCATATTTCCAACAAGAAACTTTACATTGACATAGTCATCCTAAATTATGGTTTTCGAAACGTATGATTGCAAAGCACACTCGTACTGGTCAAATCAAAAGCATTTCAGATAATATCTGAAAGTTTGGCAGGATTAATATCGTGTGTGACCGCCGCCTGCAGCAATGACGGCGCAGCATCTGCGCCTCAAAGACTTGACGGTGTTGGAAATTTGATGTTGTGGGAGAGCGTTCTAAGCGTTGGTTAGGCTTTGAATCAACTGAGCGTTGTTCTGAGGAGCGAAATTCATCTCTTGGATTTGAGGCCCGAGAATATCCCAAACATGTTCAATCGGGTTCAGATCGGGTGATACTGCTGGCCAGGGATGGATGAAACCGAATTGTTGTATTGCGAGGTAAGCTTGTGTCACCCTGGCACGATGGGCTGGAGCGTTGTCCTGTTGTAAGGTGTAGCCTGGATGGTTCTGCACAAACAGTGCCACGTGTGGCTGCAAGATGGTGGCGACGTAGTTGGCGCCCTTCTATGCTGTCGGAGCATGCGCCAGCGCCGTCCTGTGGTCTGTTGTGATTCCGCCCCAGACCATCACTTGCCCATATCCCTGGTTGGGGATTTCACGTACACACTGGTCAGCAAACCTTTCATTTTGACGGCGATATACCCGCACTCGACCATAGTAGCGACTTTGGACAAAGCTAGACTCATCCGTGAAAAGGACCTGAGACGAATAACTGTCTGTGTGCTCACTGGTTGGTGTTGCAGGAGGGTTCTGGCTGTATGCGAAGCAGACTGGAACCTGTTCATCAGGTGGGTGGTGCATACCGATCTTGTGCTGGGGTGGTTACCCGCGGCCTCCCTGGTACTTCCGGTCTCTGGTACTTCCTGTGTTCATGTACCTGGTCTGCAGACTGTAGACGGTTTCCCTGCTACAGTTAAAAATCCTCGCCACTTCCGCCACGGGAACGCCTGCTTCGTGATGCCCTACAGCACGCCCTCGCTCATCTGCACTGAGACGCGGCATGATTGAAAGTCGACATTTTTCTACATTTCTGAAGCTCGCAGTTCAAATGCAAACAATGTTTTCATAAACTTATTACACACCTTTTATAGGTTTTGAAATAAGTTACACATTGATAGCAAAGACAACACAGAAAACTCATGTTTAACAGAATAAAAAGTGACAAAATGAAATCATACAAACACACAGAAGTAAAGTGACCTCACTTTGTTGTGTTGTCGAAATTGATTCAGAAGACAGTAAAATCAACACACCGCACTGTACATAAATATCATCATTATTCGTTTTGATTTAATAGTATTATGTTCAAAGAAAATGTGTCTAGTTTCTTTAGGAAAAGAGTATATATATATA